GAAAGTCTTGTACGTCTCCTGAACGTGGACAGTTCGTCCTCGTTTATTGACCAGCGATGCTATCTATTCCTTATTCCTGGCACGACGTTTGTATGACTCTTTCCGCGATGACGCGACTCACCAAAAAAGCATGGAAATCGCGCTTTGCAAGATGTCGTCAAACTGTACTCGAGGAGCAACTGGTCGTCCATTGTGAAAGTTCAGTTGTTTGTCGGCACACGTCGCAGTTACGCTGCGACGAATACGAAATACATCAGAAGTCCGTCAACGTTCTGTCGTTTTACAAACCTCTCGGGAGTTTCCCTAGTCTTGTAGATTAAACCATAACATACATACATTTGCATAAAACAGTTATTGAATACTAGACATATGTCTGAATTACTATTAACATTTTTTGTTCGGTAAGTTGGAAGCTCTTAAAATGAATTTTTAAATTTTATATAAATTTTCCAGAAAAATCGTGTCAACAAATTTCCTCTAGAAAATTTTACTTTAAATAGAGAAATTTTGTAGCTAACGAACGGATCTGTTTGCTGGTGGACGATAAATTTGATTTGCTGTTTGTAGAAATTCTTTATAAAGAGATTCGTCGTCGGAGAAAAAGCATCGAAAATAACGACTAGGGTGCTATTTGTTAAATATTATTCAACCGCACAAAGACGACGTAACTTTTTCGGTATAACACCGTTCTGCTGTACCTAATAATATGTTACTAAAAATATGTTACTTCAGTAAGTACGTATAGTTAGTTTAACAAACAAGATAGTAAGAAAACGGGTATATAGTTGTTACGATTTTGATGTTAGAACCTAATTTACTGGATTCACTAAATAAGTGGTGTTTTGCGTAGACAGACCCACCTTCACTAGCAGTACCTGAATCTCAGTTCTCGGAGAAAGATGTGTATCCCATCAATTTTGTAACAAATTGTTATTTAAAATTGGTCTCCTGTAGACAAACGATATAAAGTTAGCGATTACCTATTAAAAGTTGAAGTTGTGCTGTCCTTTTAGTAAAATTCCTGTAGACAAACGATATAAAGTTAGCGATTACCTATTAAAAGTTGAAGTTGTGCTGTCCTTTGGGTAAAGCCATTTAGGTTCCATTGTAGTACTTTTAAGGCTATTTCATTTAGATTAGTAGATCTGTGTCCATTTATACTACAATGGTCGTATACATTTTGTCATGTTTAACACATTCGGGACGGGCCGGAATCGTTTTTCGGACCCCATGGCTTGGAGAAATGAATCTTCCTTTTTTAAAATGTTTTTTTTTTAGTGTGAATATGTAATTATAAGTATTCTAAAAGACATTTAATGATATAAAATGTTTTTCTGTAATATTTCTTAACGGAAACTTTAGCTCCCATCCGTCCGTGGGATTTGTCGTTTAGGTCAATCGTTACAGGTGTATATCCATTTGTCGCGTATCCTAGTGTCGTATCACCTTTACGTGTGGTATCGGATCGCCTTACGTTACGTCGTCATATGCAACGGTTGCTCGTCCACATTGATACACAACGCTGATACAATACAATACGGTGATACGCAACAAGTGAATACGCACCTTAAAATATTTGTAACCGTGAACAATAGTAGCAAACAGTTCCTTTAGATGTCATTGCTGTAGATAAATTCACTTGTGACTATACAAAACATATAAATCCTCTCCGCAATGCCTCAAAAGCTGGCATTTGGTTAAAAAGGTGTGGGCATTACAGTTCCCAAGCAGCCGCGAGAATCGCCCATTTTGAGGAGATTTTCCACCCGTGTCAAATGTGTTAATTACTGGATTACAAATATTCATACATTTATAGTGTCTCCCAATTTGCAAACTGTAGGTAATATAAAACTGAAGATTCTAATAAAGTGTAATAGTATTTGTGTATCCGTACCAACACATTAAATACCTTAATACAGGAAATGATCTTTCTGTCCAATGTCAATCTTCATATATCAGCATCCAACATCATAAAATCGCTTAACCAGTCCAATTATAACATATAAGAATAAAAAATCGACGTTTACTGATAATCAGTTTAATCTCGTAAAAAAAAAATTGGTGATAAAGAGAATATGCACCTCTTCGCCAACCAAACATTACTCGTCATCCATCAGTCTTCATACTCGAAAACTTATCCCGCGATGTTTCAATCGAAACACGTAGCCTACATCACACGCTCTCATCCGTCCCATATATTGCCAGCCAGGAAATAACTTCAGGATCGCGTTTGAACTTTCCTAGGCGCATCGTCGTGAGATATCGAAGAACGAACGAACGAACCTCATCAGGTAGTTCGATATCTCGAAACGTGCCCGTTAGAAGAACGATAAAGTGTTCACTGATTTATTCGTGACACACACAGGCATACAGGTATCGTGTAACAGCAGGTTGCAGGAGAATAAGCATCCAGTGAAAATACACATTCATAAACCGACACGGTCATCTCGGCGAGACTCGCCATCCGGTAGACGACATGAAGTCACGGTTAAAAGTACCGCGACGCCATAAGACCCGGACTGGCATGCAGCTTGAAAATAAATCTGACAGAACTACCGGTTCTGTCGGCACGATGATATTATCAGGCGTTAACTATTTCTAGTGCGTATTTATCGTCCGTATTTTTTCACCCGAACGAATGACGTCCGGTGGTTACTTTAACGCGCCTGTAACTGGCTTCGCTATTACCGGCAATTACGAACGCAATAAAACATGACCTTTCTGTCAGCGGTTGCCGGTCTGATCAGCAGTAGGACGGGAAAATTCAAAATAATTTCAAGGATGAGAGATTTCGATACGTGGGTTGTTAGAAAAGTATGTTTTTTTTTTCTCATCTTGTGGCTATATTGGGATGATGAAACTGGGGTGGTGTGATAACTACGCTTGTACAAATGCGAAACATTTTCGTACGAGTAGGTACAGTGTCTACCTGACGATGCAGTCATAGACATAGAAATATAGATTCCGCATCTCCTGAAACGAGCGTTCAAGTTTAGAAAGAGGTAGATAGCTTTCGGAGGGCTTGGCATCTCTTTTTAAATCTAAGTAGTGGTGGGAAATTATGTGGAAAAGCAGAGGAATACTTACAGATTATGAATAAATTTCTTTACATCTTTTAAAGCGTTTATTAATTTTTCGTGAAATAAGGAAACTTATTTTTCTGACAATTGTAAAATTACTATGTAAAATATACTTTAAGAGAGATATCAATGGTTCAGTGGTTTTGGACATTATGAGTACAATGTTTGTCCCTAAAATATGCGAACATTTTAAAAATAACGAGGCACATGATATTTTCGTAGAAAAATGGTTTATTTTATGCGAAATACATTCCTTATGCGGCGAGACAATGATTTGCACGATAACCTAACGCTCCAAATGACTTTTCCATGTGCTTTTGTTAAATGCCCTTGGGGATGCTCGTCACAAGCTTTTGGAGACTTGGAATGTATTCATAACGCTTTTCCTTTCATGGGTGTGTTGAGTCGTGAAAACAAAAAGTAATCTAGAAATCAAAAGTAAACTAGTAACAATCGATTTGAGAAAGTTTGGACTCTTACGAGTGGTTTTAGTAATAGCTTTGGAATGATCACTGCGATTCAATCTTTGGTAACCAGTCAATGTGTAAGGAACAAACCGTGCACAAACCTTGCGAAGTTTTGAATACTCAGGTAAAATGCGATAAACTGTATTTTTCGATAATCAATAATAATATGAATTTTGATTGCTTCACGCACGCTTTCAATGTTTCCTTCGTTGATTTCTGCTCCCGAAAAAACTGGCCCATTATCGTCGGTAGTGTTTTCTCGACCCGCCTAAAAGCGTTTAAACCAGCCGTGTGTACGAGATAAACAAAGATCGCCATACATTTTTTTGCATCGATTGATGCGTTTTGTTAAACGATTTACCAAGTTCAATTCAGAATTTAATTTTGAAGTATTGTTGTAAGCTCGTTTTTCAACCCACGAACAAAAAGTACTGTCACTTTGGGTGTTCTAACTCGGCTTCTGATGATTCAGATGTCATAAAACTTTTACACAACATCAATAGAGGATGTATTTCTCGACGACAAAATTTTCGTGTAGATGTCGCTACTAGTTTTTTCTATTTTTACAAGGTCGATTATTGTTTAGGACGAATCATGTATATTTGACGATTGTTTTAGATCATTCGGAGAGAGCACAGTGTGTAACAATGTATAATTACAACAGTATTAAAATTTAAATAAGAACAACTTATAATTTCGTGTTTATGGAAATGTTGCACATTTTACCACTATTCCACGCAATCTAATTTCCTATGAAAATCATACAAATTTGATTTAGAATCGTTCTTCCATATTAAATTGTTTTTAAGATAACATTGAGATAACAGAGGATAGTTCAAACCCTGAAACTTAAAATGCAATAAACAGTTTACTTTCTTATCATGTATGCTTTGTAACAGACGTTTGAGTGAAAGTTCCTAAAACATTACAACTGAACATGTAACACAATAGGTGAAATGGTAATTAAGTGGTTTCTTACGTCGCATGCTAATTTACCGATACTGTGCACCACACGCAAGAGCCATCGCCATTCCTTCCGCTTTTTCGTCTTGACATATCAGATTGGTCTACCGTAAATCAACGTCAGTTTATTTTAGCGTTATGCGAGGACGAATTAATTAATGTAGCCGAGTGTAAATTGCTGGCAAAGTACTTGGGGTGTGTTTTGCTTTGACCGATTGCTAATTCATTGGAAACTCGAGATGTTGATAAAAGCAAATATTGGCGATATTTCCATTAATTTTTTGTTTTCGTAATGCAACGATTTAAAATTGGCAATATACTGGCGATATTTTCATTAATTTTTTGTTTTCGTAATGCAACGATTTAAAATTGGCAATATATTGGCGATATTTTCATTAATTTTTTGTTTTCGTAATGCAACGATTTAAAATATTTTTATTAATTACAGTATAAAATATGTAAAAATAAATAATTTTTATTGTTTGTTCAGGTGGAATCAGTTGATTTGGCGTTGAAGTTACTGGACGGCTCACAGATAGGGGGTAAAACGCTGTCTGTTCAAAGGGCGAAGTTTCAAATGAAAGGTGACTCTTACGATCCAGCCTTGAAACCGAAGCGGAAAAGGAAGGATAAGGACAGACAAAAGAAAATCCACGAAAAGTAAGTCGCATGTATTAATCACTTCACGGACAAACCTTCTAGGACAAGTTTCTTTTGAAACAGTGACTGTAGTACATTACAATGTGACGTGTCCCGTGAATTCAATTTGAAACAGACTTTTTTACGTTAAATGGAGTCAGAAGTAACGTCTATCACGTATATTGAAAAATTTCTACTCAATTAAAAGTTAAACTGTTAATAAAGATATTTGAATTCAATGACAGTTACAATGTTTTATAGTAATTTAGGATATGTAACATATCAACGTTAATTATAAAATATGGTATCGGTTCAACAAAACAATTGAGAAAGAAAAATTAATAGAAATGTGAAATTGTATGGTTTTTAGAGGGCGGAATTACCCTTCAAAACTGAAAAGTAAATAATTATTGACTTTAATATTTATCTATTAACCACTCATTATGAATTAATTGCGAAGGATCGCTTCACGAAACACACAACCTGCATTTAGTTTCCTTATGATACTTAGGGAGGTAGTCTAGCCCAAACTTTCAGAAAAAATCGATTTTTTTTTCACTTTCTGAAAATATAGATTATCGTATGAAAATCACCAAATCATTAGTATCGAGTATCAGCATTACCAAAAATTGATTTTCTTTTTCCTGATTTTTGTAAGTTCAGTTTTTAAAAAATCAAGAAAATCAATATACAAACTTCAAAATGCTGCGATTTTAAAAATTTTCAATACTTCATTTTCATGCTGGTTCACACCACCGACACACTCGTACTAATCAAAAATCTTTTTAGGTTTTCTCGTTTGAAATAAGCAAAATGGCCGGAAACGTGTCAGTCAGTACGACACACTTTTGATTATTTTCACTTAACAAAATTGGTGAATATTAAAAAATAAATAAATATATGTGCAAAGGTCGATATCAAAAAGTCTTATGGTTACTTTGAAAAAAATAGAAAAAGCTTACAAAGTAACGCTCCAGATTAGAATACCCCGTCGATTCTATGTAGTCTCTATTTTATGTACTTTTTAAATTTTCACTCGCTAGTAGCATGAAGAAAGATGCATTCAGGCGTTTCACGTCCGTGAACAAAGTACGATCAAAGAATAACGGTGTCGGGTTTTTTCAGTCATCTCGATCCGAAAGGAATCCGTGGAAAGAGCGAATTCTCACGCTCGATTCATCCCGTGAAATCACATCCTTGAGCACTTCTACCGCTCTTCTATTCATTCAAGCCCGTTCATTCATCTCTTCCCGCTGGCGACCACCCGAGAATGCGTATCGTGTGTTTACCGCTCAATCTCCGGGAAATCGAGATTCACTTCATCGCTGTACTAGATTTACCGTGGCCCTCTGTTTACTGAACACATCGTCTGAAACATTTTCACCGCTCGTTACTGGGCATCGTTTGAAGGGGAACACCACCCCGAGGCGCCTAAAAATCTGATTTTCCATCAAAATTTACAGTCGAGTAATAGTATTGTTTATTAGCAATTTAAAATGAATTGAGTTGGCCAGAAAGTAATGTCAGATTTCTATAGTAGGCCTTCTTCATTTTTTTATATAAAACACTGCTCCTGACTAATAAAATATGTACATATTCTGAAAGCTGACACTTCAACATCTGATTCAAAAAATAATCTTTACGATGGCGTTACATTTTCTTGAATTCTCCTTTTGAAAATGAGTGACGAGAAGGTATACTTTTGAGCAGTCATGTCTCTTTATTTTCATTCCTTTATAGCTTCATCACAGTACACATAGGAAATCTTTTTTGTTGTTTGTTTCATGTCTCATCCTTTCTGAAAATAAAAAAGCATAGTTGCTTGAAAGTACACCTTAATTGCTCGAAAGTATACCGTAATTGCTCGAAAGTACACCGTAATTACTCGAAAGTACACTGTCTTGTCACTCATATTCAAAACAACGTCAATTGAAAGAAATTAACGCCGTCGCAATGTTTCTTTTTTATAAACCACGCATTAAAGTGTCAGCTCTCAGAAGGTGTAGATATTTTATTAATTAACACTAAACCTACCACGACCGGTCAAATGACCGGTTTTGTCGTTCTAATTCCTATCTCTCTGAAGGCTCCAGTATGTTTAGTGTTAAGAGCAGTGCTTTGTATTAAAAAACGAATGAGTAATTAATTATATCGGTTAGAAATTGATTTTCATATGGTTTCCCCGCGAGAATCTTTCATTCGAAAGAATCGGAAAGACTTACACACTCGAACCGGACGCTACGAAGCCCCCGGACCAAACGCAACGCGGCCAGACTGCTTGGCGTTGGCGGGTTCCGGTAAAAGCAGCTGCGAGACTCGATTACTCACGTCAAGACGCTACGGGCCCGCACGTATACGCGTCTTGGCGCATCAGCCGGCTGCACTTTCTTAGACACGTCCACTTTCCTCTCGGTTACGAGCAAAAAGAGACGCTGTTCTGCAACCCCACCTCCCCCTCGTGTTCACCAGACACATGCGATGCTGTCTCGGTACAGGTTGTTTTACTTCGCCTCCTTTCGGACGTTTTCTCACTAATTAGGTATATTTAATGATGGACGTGGGAGCTATTTTCTTGCAATTCTTCGGTTCGTTCAGCCAATCTACCTGGCTTAATCACTTCAATTATTTTACATTTGACATCCCGTTATTATGTGAGAAACGTTATACAGTTTGTATGCATCAACTTGGGTGAAATTTTATGCAGAGGTAATATTACACAAAAAAGTTGTCACGAAATGGCGGCTACAGAACCTTGACGGTCTAAATTAGCTTATTGCCGTCAAACCCTGCGAATCTGGATTCCTGGAAAGCTACAGACCGAATGGCTTTGAGTCAATATTTTTTCTTTGTGTATCAAGTTTATTTGCAATTAATCGTCTATTTATAGCAGAGTATAAGCAAATGTGTTTGTAATACAGGTTTTGAACGACAGCAACACGCAGTTTTTTGCTCTATACTTTTTACAGACTCCTCTCGATTATCGTCCCGAACACATCTCCGCCCCCAGTGGTGGGGATAATGTCAGGACAATAATCGTGTACAACAAGCCCAACGATAATCGAGAGGAGTCTGTAACTTTATTTTAATCTAATTGTCATTCGTTATCATCGTCTTCATCGAGAAGAGTTTGCGTCCATTCTGTAAAAGCTGGATCATCAGAACGTTTTCGTTCATGATGAGCTATATTTTTGTTAAAAAACATATAATGTCGCAAAAGCAGGGCGTACAATTTATTGAAACTCTCAGACTACTACTAACGTTAGATATCGCAGACCGTTGTCTGTTATTTTACTACAGTAAATAAACAACAACTCACTGAGTTATTAACTTATATGATATATCGTAAAGTAGAGGATACTTCAGCACAGAATATACTTTGTATCAAACGAAATGAAACTTTGTATGATCGATTGTGTTTGGCAGATCGCACGTTAGCGGTTGAAGGTTGATCCTCGTACAGCGAATGCAGGATCATTTTGACCCATCTGAAGCTACTGCCATATTCAGTGCAGTTACAGTAGACTCACGTTAAAGTAGCGGTAGAAACGCCCAGCTCACACGCATTACTCACACACGTGCTCGCACCCCATTATCGGTCGCCATCTGTAACCAAAATTCTGATCCAATTGGTCGATCGATCGAACTGCCACGAAATCCTGCGTGCCTATTGGCTTATGTTAAAGTAGCGTTTCCAGGATAAACCCACCTGGAGAGCCCCACACCGCTACTTTAACGTGAGTCTACTCTATATGTAGATGTAATATATGAATTTGAAAACGTACATGAAAATTTATACATAATTCCGTCTTCAAACCTGTATATAGTGAAAATTTAACTATGGGACAAAATGACCCCGCATTCGTCTGCCGTGTTCGTGTCACACCATCCATCTTCCGAGGGTTAATATGAGCAACTCCTAACTGAAATCCCAAATAGCACAAAAACATCGTATGTATGTCCTGAGAACATCCGTTGCGGATGTTCTGTACATTAAAAGGATATCCCGAAAAGGTACACACGTCCCCTCCACGTCCTCGTTAAGATCATTAAATGTCGTAGGAAGGTTCAATTTACAAAATGAAACGTCTTGAGAACGTTCTGTGTGAAAATTCTCAGAACATTTTCCGAATATGTAAAAGTACCATTCTTCGTACTTTTTGGGAACATTTAAAGAGTTATTAAAAACGCTGTGGTAATGTCTTAAAAGACATATAAGAAACCTTTCGCAAATATTTAAAATTACTAAACGAAATCATCCGAAATTTAAATCCTACGATCATTCGTAACACTTAAGAAATGAACATTCCTGGAACATGCGAAATATAAGTCTCGAGAACATCCGTAGCACTTTCGAGTCGAACGATTCCAGAACATCCGAAATTTAAGTCTTACGAACATCCTAGGGACGTTAAAAATGGACGTATGACATTCGGATATAAACTGAACATGAAACGTACGTCCCTCGGATGAACGATGCTATCTGGGATACGATTCATAGGTTGATGAATTAGATGATGTTCTTAAAAACTCAAGTCCATATGGCTCCAGGCACCACCGTGCGAGGGTTAGAAAAAAAAAACAGCTCAATTCTTACCGCTTATATCTACCCAACATACATACGAGCTCGAGCGGCAAGAATGCCTGTACATCTGGACGACCATTCGCCCCAGTGTCCTCGAGTTCATCAGTGCGTCCAGACGGACAAGCCGTATCGCCACGAAATCCTCAGGTACACCGTGATCCAGGGGGCCCTTATCCCCTGCGCAGTGTCCATAATCATCAGTTACCCAGCCCGTTTGCCGTCTTCATCGTCGCGCACGGGATGTCTGTCGTAGGACGAGAGCACAGAGTTCGATGGCCTGGGGTCCGCGAAAACCAGTTATTTGCGAACCGAGCCGGGCCCTCCTCGACTGCTCACTTTGCCGGAAGTCTTTCGTTCTAACGGTCTTTTCCCCGTTCACGAATCGCCATCTAGCGATTTCCTATCCAGATGATTTTCTTTCCTCGCTATAACATCGATC